TTACTGTGATGCATACCCACCAGTTCTGCTTCTTGTATCTACAGAAGAATCACTCCAAGAGTGACATTTTGGCGGGGGATGTAGATCAGTTGGTAGAGTGTTTGCCTAGCATGCATGTGAAGCCCTGGGTTCGAGCCACAGTTCCATATAAAACCAGGCAGGGTAGTGAACACCTGTAATCCAGCCCTCGGGATGGAGAGACAGGAGGATTGGGAATTCAAGGCTATCCCTGACTATATAGCAAACTCAAATCTAGCTTGGGAAACATAAGACCTCATCTTTAAAAAAAGAAAAAAAGAAAAGGTGACTTTAAACTAGCACTTCTGAGCTGCCAGAGAGGACTGAGTGTTGTAATTAATATGAAAGAGGAAGGCCTTTGTAAGGTTTCAAAGAGAAAGGAAATAATCTTGTCTCCGTGCTTCTCAGCAAGAACCCGACAGTGTCCTCAGCCGTTCTTCAGGGCTGTTGGCACTCAGGAGGTGGAGCATGACCTAGTTTAAAGATGATATATGCAGTATGGCATGTTGCTCTTTTAGAAAAGGAAAATCTAACTCAAAATCAGCCATTCAAAATGATTAGGAATTTCCAGTTTAATGATTCAAGACACAACCAACACATCCATCTGAAATTCTATTTTAGGAGGTTTCAAGTAACCGAAATGTGTTCATAACATTTATTGGGCACCTACTATATACCTGGCACTGGGGATGCAACGGGATTTTCGAAGCTCACATTCTACTGAGAAGACATACACTAAAAAGACACACACTAAACAGAATGTATCTGAGGAAAAACAAACAAAAAACAGGAGAAAGAGGATAAACCAAGACAGGGATGCTATCTTGTGAGGTAGTTATGACGAAGACAGTGAACCTAGGTGACATCTGAGCAGAGACCTGAATGATATGTCAGTCATGTGACCTTATGGGTAAACAAAAGAGCCTAGATGGCCGTATCACACAGTAAGTACAAAGTTTTGAAATTAGACATATACCTGGCTTCTGTGAAGAACACCCAGGTTGGTGTGGCTAGAGCAGAGGGAGGGATAGAATGGTTGTCAGTGAGCTAAAACCTGGCAGAACAGGGAAGGACTTTGGATCTGAGCATGTTGGGAAACAACTTCTGGAGAGCTTCTGACTACTGATATGACCTCCAGGAAGGATCTTCTGGTTACTGTGTATACCCTAGGCTATAAATAGCAAAGGGGGTGTGTCTATTAAGAGAGAAGCAGAGTAACCGAGAGAGGAGAGAACAGCATCTTGAGTTAGAGTCATAGCAGTAGAGGTGCTGGAAGTGTTTATACCTATTCTCAGTCAAGAGGCAGCATGGTTTGCTTAGGGAATGGATTTGGTCAGTGAAAGAAAGTGATGAGCAGGGATCATCCCAAAGTTTTTTTGGCCTAAGCATCTTAAAGAAAAAGAGCTATGATTTACTGGAACATATAGTATAAGGAAAGCAGAATGAAGGGTATGCATGTTTGTGTGGGGTGAGGGGGTAGTGGGTATATGTGTGTTGTAGGAGCTGCTTCAGTTTTTGATATAAGAAATCTAATGAAGGTAGAGAAAAGAGTTCAAGGTCATCCCAGATTCATAGTGAGTTCAAGGCTAGGTACCAACAAACAAACGAAATGTACTAAACACCAAGTGCCAAGAATAGTATCTGCCATATCATAAACAGTATTAAAGAGTAAGGCAACTGGATCTAAAATCCAAGTATCTCTTCTAAAAATTTCTATGTTTAAGCACATTCACACATATTTCAAAGTTATGATGATTTTCCAGAGTCCTTTACTTCTTGGTAGGTAATGAGATAATGGAAATTATCTAATTCATACATTCTGATAAAAAGTAAAGACCAAGCCAGCTGTGGTGGCTTACGCCTTTAATCCCAGCACTGGGAGGCAGAGGCAGGCGGATCTCTGTGAGTTCAAGGCCTGGTCTACATAGTGAGCTCCAGGACAGCTGGGGCTACAGGGAGACCCTGTCTCAAAAAAAAAAAAAAAAAAAAAAAAAAAAAAAAAAAGTAAAGACCAGAGATTATGAGAGATCAAAGTCAAGCTCCACATTCAAGGTACAACTAGAACCTGGTCCCCAGGCCAGTGTTCTGCCTTGAGACAAGAACATTAGTGCCAACTTCATAATGTTCTTCTTTACAGGGAATATACTTGAAGAGTTCTTATAGAAACTGGTCAGTGGGCCACTATGTCACAAGTCAGTGAATACTATGATATGTGAAGTAGTCATGAGGTTTAGCCCTCCAGGAATGAGTTCTGATACTTCACAGACAGCAGTGATGCTTACTGTCAATTATACAGATAACACATTTTACTTCAAATTATTGTGTTAGCAAAGGCATCTCTTAAGTCTGCATACCTAGGAAAATACTCTACAGTTGACAGCAAAGTTTTAACATACTCTTCTGTCTTTTTTGAGACAGGATCTCCCTGTAGCCCCAGCTGGCTGGAATTCACTTGTAGACCAGGCTGCCTCTGGCTCCTGAGTGCTGGAATTAAAGGTGTATGTGTGTGTGCCACTATGCCTGGCATATATATATATATATGTGTGTGTGTGTGTGTGTGTGTGTGTATTAGTGTTTTGCCTACGTGTATGTAAGTGCACCACATGCACATAATGCCCCACAGAGGCCAAAAGAGAGTGTTGGATTGCCTGAAACTTGAGTTACAGATGACTGTTAGCCACCATGTGTGTGCTGGGAATTGAACCTGAGTCCCCTGGAAGAAGAGCAAATGTTCTTAACTGCTGAGTCATCTCTCCACCTCATACTATTTTGTTGTTGTTTTGAGACAGGGTCTCCCTGTAGCCCCAGCTGGTCTGGAACTCACTAGGTAGACCAGGCTGGCCTTGAACTCACAAAGATCCGCCTGCCTCTGCCTCCCAAGTGCCAGGAATAAAGGTATGTGCCACCACACCCAGTTTTAACATACTTTGAATAAGTATTTTTTCCTTGTGATTGATCTACCTTTAAATCTGCATACCTAGGAAAATAAAGTTGATAGCAAACTTTTAACATACTTTTAACAAGTATTTTTTCTCAGGATTGATCTACCTGATCCTTGACCTGTCAGAGCTTGTCATCCATTTCACTTTAGCAAATCAGGCATTGAATGGCCACTCTGTCAGACACTCTGTTAAACACGTCAAGAAAAACTGAATTGTTCCTTTTAGTCAGCTATACAGACAAAAATAAATGAAAGACTTCCTAGAAAAAAAATGTTATTAGAAAAAAATATAAACACAGGGAAATGTCCAGACTGCCAGAGGTTTGGTGAGCACAGGTTTTCACAAAACAGAATCAATTTAGTAGGTAGGATATTTTAGGTAAGGAATATACAGCACAAGATGGAAGTCCACACCCAGGTGAAATAGGACTGGTTGGTATTAGTTAGGGTGGAGGAGGCAAACAGTCAGCTGTCAACATAAGCCAAGACCAGATGAGGTGTGTTCCAGGTGGTACTGCTCTAGACTAGCCCAGTGGTTCGCAATCTGAAAACCGAAGATCAGCGAACCCACATGATGGAAACAAAGCATTTAAACTTTTAGTTTTTCTGCCACTAGTACACATTATAAACCGATAACACCAAAGGCAGATTTTTTTAAGTTTTCTTATTTCTTATTTTATGTGTGAGTGTTATGCCTGCATGTAGATTAAGTGCACCCATGCTGTGCAATGCCAGTGGAGGACAGAAGAGGCTGTTGGATCCCCTGGAACTGGAGTGACAGACAGTTGTTAGCTGCCATGTGGGTGCTTGGATTCAAACCAGGGTCTTGTGTTCTTACCCGCTACCTCCAGGACCCAAAGGCAGATTTTTTTTTTTTTTTTTT